GCTGATTTTATCATTTAGCCCAAAGTTCACTGTACTCTGAAACTATTGCCCAGAAAACTTTACCTCTATCTTCAAAATTATCCAAAAAATCAATAAATTAAGAAAAATCAAGCAGGGTTCATGCACAAAATGGAGAAAAATCACAATTGCCTAAAATGCAAAGCATGGCATAGTTATATTGTACATTCCAAACACAAACTGCAGTAGCAATTATAACACAAAATCCATATTCAATTATCAGCTCCAGATTCAGAGCAACAATAAAACTGAAATCACTGTATTTTTCTAGGGATACACACAGCGAAAGAGCTCAACTGGTTCCTTCTGAAATTTGTTGCTGTGTAACATTATGCAATGGCATACAAAATTGGGTGACAGAAACCCAGAAAAAGTGCCTGAAATTCTCAATACATTCTACACCTATAGGCTTAAATAAATCCATTTTGAGGGCTCCATTATACCTACCACACATGAAATTTTTTCACAGCTACAAATGTGATAGCTCATGCTTTTGCTTCCTCACAGTATATAGCTTCTCCATGAACAGAAAGCATTTAGTGAACAGAAATGTAGACAAGCTCTAATTTTCTGCACAGTGGCAAGTGCATCCATTACGTGTTACAGAGTCACTTCGCTCAGAAAGAGTTAACTTTCTAGCTCCTATTCTCTGCAGTGCTGCATAAACACTGCACATTATTCTTACTGAGCATGCTTCATCTTTGCTGTCTCCACAGTCTTGGGCTGTCAATCACCTGTCACTCCCCACCACATCAGCACAGTGCGCACCACCAGGCTGTCAGCACAGCAGCTGATGAGACTCTGCTAAGAGCTGTCAATCAAACTTGTTTCTCTTATCTGTTCAGGAAATATTTTGTCTCTAAGAAACAAAGAACCTGGGCAACAATGGATCAGAGTCTAGTATTTACTCTTTTAGAGGGATGAAGGCTCTTAACAGGAAATGAATGTTTTATCCACAACGAGGAAAAAAAAAATCTGCTCCATTAGGCATATTATTTTTTTTGCTTTTCTTTAAATCCTATTTACCACTTAACTTAATAAATCAGGGCATAATAAATTAAATTTCTTTTTCACTGTAAAATGAATTTTATGGATTTACTTTTATCTTCTGTTGAATATAATTCAGTGCAGTTTAAAACAGGTAGCACTTCTGGTTTGGGAAATCTTTCCCTGACTGTAGACATTGGGATGTGTGAGCTTTCTCCCTATCTCACTGTAGCCAAAAAAGCCAGACTATAGAAAACGCACATAATTTACACCTTTGTTTCATTAAAATATATATTTTCCATAGCATTTCTCATTAAAACTAAATTTCAACATAGAATTTAATAACGTGAGTAGGGTTCATAGATAATAGACCGAAAAATAGCTGAAGGGTATAAGCAAGCAAGAGAAAAACATACATTTTCAGTGGATGTTTGAAAGAAGATACTATCTTCTCTCTGGAATGCGGCACCAGGGAGAAAGAACTGCAGAAGGTAAAGTTCTTGCATCTACAGAAATAAAATACTGAAGAAAGACAAAAAGAGCTGCAGAGATGGGCACAGCAGCAATCTCAGGTCTCACAGAGAATCTCTGCATGAAAAGTTGAGCTGGGCTTTCAAGTGCACATCTATCCAAGGCAGAATAATGTTCTGCAAAGATAACTGGTGTAGGTCTAACAAACATGGTAATCAAATTAATTAGTACTGGTGGATCACTGAACCAACAGACCTCTACTCTTCCCAGGGCATAAGTATCTTTACATGCTGTGCCATATAGATACGCAGGCACATTTAAATCTAGCTCGAGTATCAGCACATTGTGCTGTCTCATGCCAAGTGAAGTAAACATAGCCCAGTGACTTCAAATCCTCATCTCCACCCATATCTGGTTTCCCCTACAGGATAAAGAGTTTCAGAGCTGACAGACAAGGAAAAACACCACGGACTTAAGAGGGAAAGTAGCAAAGGGAAGCAAATCACTTTTCTCAGTATAGAGAGGAATACTGTAAAACACAGTAATGTGAAAGGCAGGCCTAAAAATATTTGGTGTTTTCCACAAAGCTTCAGTCTGGGGCCATGAAATTAAATAAGCAGCTTAGTTTTCCAAGACAAAACAAAGTGAGTTTATAATCCTTGCAGTTTCTTGGACAAGACTGCATATTAAAAGTTAAAGGAATGGAAGGCAAATAAAAGTGTTATTTTTTAAAACCTTGTAACACAGAGACAATGATTTACATGCCTGATTCATGTGCTCCGAGCATTGGCTGTGCGAATTGGCCGTCCAGGTAAAAACAGAAGGCAGAGGTGAGGCTGCAATAGGAAACCCATGGAAAGGAAAAGTTTAAAGCAAGCATGGAAAGGAAGCCCCCTGAGAGGTTTGGGATCCACCATGCTCCTCCTCATCTCTGGTGGCTTAAGGCAAGATCCAGAGAGATCAAGACAGCAAGAAAGGAAAAGGACTGGGAAGAGAAAAATTCTGGCCATGGACAATATAATACTAGTTGTCCTTGCCCCACATATCCCCACAAGATTTTTTCTGGAATTTGGTTGCTTCAGAAGAAAATATTTTAGTTTCCCAAAGAGGGAAACCATTGCCCAAAGGAAAGAGAACAAGGTGGCAGCCACAACCAATGTCAAAGATGTAAGCAAATCTCTCAGAGGCTGAAGCAACACAAAGACAGGCAATTTTGAGCTGAATCCTGCAGCAAAGGCAAGAGGTCAGCATCTTTCATCACTTTCAACTCTATAAATGACTTCTTAAAGGATGCCTATTTCTCTTTTCTGGGGCTTTATCTTGGTGGCCTCCATTACTGTTTGTGCCTGCAAGAGTAAGAACAATTTGTCTCTTCTCCTTCCTCTCAGCCAGCTGCAATGTCTTTAATGCACACTATGTAGTAAAGAGCCTGCACAGTGGGAAAGGAGGCAGGTGTCTTGCTGGGGATAGTGCAAGTGGAGACAAGGCACTTCAGTTTGATCTCTTCTAGAGCTCTGTGCTTGGTGCTGGCACCACTCATTATGTTCTGGCCTACCACCAGCCCACTGCCCAAGGATTTCACCAGTTACTTGGAATAAAGGTACTGGGTGAGATAATGGTCTTTAGGAGATACAAAGACCATAGACATAATGGAGCATGCAAACAGGTTGGGCCCACAAAACAGTGACCTTGATCAGGTCTCTGCGCTCAGTGAGGACCTGCTACAGGTAGAAGCAATTTCCTGTTTATGTTTGCAACCAAAGGGGAACAAGCTGCTCTGTTCTCAACTCCTGGACATCATTTTGGACACAAGGTTCCCTGGCAGGAAGAAAGGGTTGCTCTTAACACACAACTTCCACTCTGCACCTTCCCCAGGCAATGCTGGAGGTGTCCCTCAGCAGGCACTTGGACAACATGCACCCACAAGGCTGCTCTCAAAACCTGCTCAGATGGCAATGGAAATGCCAGACTAGAAAAGCTCAAGGATGCTCTTTAGAGTATCACTATATAGGAATACTGCTCGTCAGAAATAATCACTAATACTTTAGTTCAGACTTACATAAATTTTTACTAATGAAGGAAAGGAAACATAAATAAACAGAAAGAACCCTAAATGCTGAACTTTAATTCTAGATGTTGACAATAACAACACCAGAAGCAACAACAGTTTGTGCAGATGTCAGAAATTAAAACCAGACAAAATATGTTGTGTACCAGGCATTTTTAAAAACATGCCTACAGTAATTTGATCTTTCAATCATGCTTATCAGCAACAAAGCTAAGAACCACAGTACTGCCCCGTACCAAACCATCCGGTTACAGATAGCACAGCCATTATCAAGCATTTGTGACAACAGGAATATTTTACTCTTTGACAAATTCTTTCATATGCAGCACTGTTTTCCAGAAACACAACTCCTTCTGATCTAACTGGACATTAATTGCTTTTTGGCTGATGTATCTGTGCCTTCTGGACTGATAACACAACTAGCAAATCTGATATCTGACAAGTTGACTCAACCTAATCAGGACAGATCAGCTGTTACCAGCATTGCTATAGGCTGTAATTTGAGGACCTTTACAGAGTTATCACTTGCTTTGAAAGGCAAGAAACTGTAATTCTGTCAACACTAATCCCAGAACGTGCGTTCAAAGTGGCTGTTATTTTTTCTCCAGGAGAAGGTAACACTTGTCAAATAAATACCTGAGATAATTGATAAAAGGAATTAGGAGTATGTGAGTGATACACCAACAATCAGTCACTCTCATGAAAAAGAACCTTGCAGGATTCAGAACACTAAGTAGAGAGCACAAGCTGTCACCATGAAGCAGGGGTCACTCTGAATGGAGTGAAACAATTAGCAATGCAGTTTTTCAATGTTTACTTATCTCTCTGTTGCTTAGTGCTAAAGCTGACTGAATTATTCACTTCAAACAAATTGATGAATTTTACTCCTTTTTCCTGCTCAGAAATGGATACCAATGCCATCAGAGTTATTCACTGCTTCACTTCTATTCAAGCTTCCATTTAGCGCTTGATTGAAAGTATTTTAGACTTCCACTGCTGTTCAAACAATATGCAGGATAAGTCCTTAATGTGTGCGAACACCACAGATCCACAGAGCTGATGGAACCAGCAAGGATATAGCTTTTGGTATATATACATTTTTTTTATACCAAAATTTGCTACAAAGTTCCCTTTGTGTAAACAATTTTGCCCACAAGACTCAACACTGCAAATGTTTGCAGAATGCAAGCATAGCCAAAGAAAATTAATAGAAAAATTCCAAATAACATATTGGATTATTTGCCTTACTCCACCAGGAAATACTTTTTCATGTAATAAAATTCAGAGGAATTCCTCAAAAAAAATGGATTCCCAGTCCATGCACTTCTTAAGGGAACTTGATGGTCACTGGAAAAAAACAAGTGGTTTCCTCATTGCCAGGTTTGCATCTGTTTCTTACAGGTAACTGTGTTTAGAAATTCAGGCTTAAAATTAGAATAAAAAATATCTCTCTTACTGTATCGCTTTGGTCCATCTTCCAAACAAAATGAAAGCGTTAAAGTTGCATCATCTTCAAAAAATTCAGTTGCAAAGGCATCCCACCAGAGGTTGTCACTATCCTAGGAAGCAACAGATCATTCACTTAACAGGAGGCAAAATGAAAATATGTTCATCTTTTGTAAAAGAAATTCAGATACAGTTTGTGCTTCTTCACCTGTGATTTAGGACTGTAGATGTCTACATGATACTTCAAACTCATTTTCCTAGGTAAAGTTCTTGTTCTAATTTAAGCAAAAAGCTAAAATATTTAGTTTATTATACAAAAAACTTTCATTTTAGCGAGCACACAATAAATATGTAATGACTTTCATACTCATAAATATATGTTTTTCTCCAAATGTTAAAAACTGTTTTATAAACCAGTTGCAAATATGGCAATTATGACTTTCGCCCCCTATTTCTGGGCTGTGTATCTCAAATGCTTGATCCTAATAATGAAAAAAACCCTCCGTACTCAATTCTATAATGCTACATAACCCAATTATCAGCATGAGCTGACAAGAAAGTTATTTAGAAATTAAATATAATAGCCATTCCACTCCAATGCCTTTAAAATAAATACAATGCCATTGCAGGCTGATTAAATACCAGGTAGTTACTTAAATGTAATTGTTACGAGAAATCTTTACTTTTCATGTTACATGAAGTGAAGACAATATTTTAAGATGAACTGTGCATACTTAGAGGTACAGTAATACATATAGCAAGAATTAATATAATGTACAATGTAAAGCTTATACCAGTATACCAATACAAGTGATCTGTGGCTTTTGACAATTGAACCAGGCATTTTCAGACCTGGGCGATCCACAACAGGCACCCAAACCTTGATGTCTAACACCCGCGCAAGTGATCCAGCTCACAAGGGTTTTTGCAGAAGTCAGACAACAGAATCCACCAACTGCTTCATTGAGAAGCTACGGGTACATTAAACAGCTGTATTTAAAATGTTTGGTGCTCATCCGCTGCTTTGAGGCCCTGAGATTTGAATCATCTGCAACATACAGGATCAGAAACAAAGCTGGAAATACACCTCTGAAGATGCCCCAGTTGTGCTCCTCAGCACCGTTACATCCCACTCATGACAGCTGCCTTACAGGGTGAAAGGTCAGGTTCAGTCAGTGTAGTGAGCACCAAGCACCTCTTAATGCCTGAGCAATATAAAACTAAGCCATAAAACATTTGTTACCTGGGAAAAAAAAAACCTGGGGTAAAATAAAAATTTAAGACAAAATACCCATCTAACATACTCATGATATATACACAGAGAAATAACTATCTTAGTTTTTTAGTTCTGTTCCTGTTTTTCCTAAAGACATTACTACTGAATTTCATTCCAAACTGCTGAGCAGTATATTCTTCCTGCCTCACAACTTTGATTCTTGTCAATCGTCCAATGGAGAAACGATAAAAACAGGTCCTACCAGAGACCTCTGAGAGATTTCTTGGCTTCCTTGCCAACGCTCCTCCTCCCCAGCAGCGTCAGGACAATGTGCAGCCCAGCCCTGTGGTACTCGCTCAAAATTCAGTCACACAGAGTCAAAAACCATCCCCACATCTTAGGAATCTGTTGCCACAGACAGCTGCTGCTCTCTCCTCTTTGTTAGTGTAAATCTGATGACTGTTTCTGTGTGCAAACATCACTGCATCAACTAGCCAGGTAACCACAACAGCAAGTACAGGATATATACACACAGGTGCTCAAGAGGTGCCTAGCAACCAGCTTCTAGAAACACACCTCTGCACACCCACCCTTCACTTGGGAGAGCCTGGGGTGACATTCTAACCTCATAAAAGAATGTATTGTCCAATAAAGAATTATGAGCTACCATTTGCCAAAAGAGAGGCTGCTGTATTGCTTAACTTGGATCTTTTGGACATACTTGTTATAGGGAGGGAAGGATTTAAGCAATATCACGTATGCATTTGCAGCTCTCATTAACTCAGTAAGTATCACTAGAGCTACTCCTGCAGCACCCAATGACATCGGAAACAAAAGGCGATCATCACACAGCTGGGATGAAAATGCACATGGGAAAGATAGAGAAGAGCAGACAAAGTGCAGGGCCTCACCTCAAAAACACGTGTATTTGCACTCACTCTTGCTTCCAGGACGCCTGAAGGCAAGGAAAATGTGGAGATGGAATTACTGTGGATTCCCTCCCTGGATAGATGAAATACTCAGACTCTGTCACAGTCTGGATACTGTCCAAGGTCTTTATCTTACGCTTTTTCATACTTCTATGTCAGGAAAAAGGAAAAACAGAAAATGCAACACCCTACCCACAAAAAAAAACCCTCCAAACCTTAATAGATGATATAAATCCTGTCAAGCTTGTATACACTTTGATGATTAATTCTCTGCTCCACCCTTGTCACAGGTGGGCCCAACTATTTTCACAGCCAACTGGTGAACAAAACCAAATGAGGTGTCCCTCAGCCAAGCTGAAAAAGGATCCAGTTATTGCAAAAAAGAGAAAGAGGATAATAAAATCACCCTTTTTTTTTTTTTCCTGCAAAAAAGGGGATGGTGAAGGCAAGGCTGCCCCCAGGCATCTTTAACTTATGCTCTGACAGGTTACAGGGGATTTTGCCAGAGTAATTATTTTTCTATTCAACAATAATGAGAAATTACCATGGCAACCTCCCTTTCACGTAGTGCACTCACACGTTCAAACACTGAAATAATGGCCTAAACATAACAAAAAAAAATTTAATACTTTAAAAATATTTTGTCTTAAAATAAACTTAAGGAGTGGGTCAAAGGAGAGAAAAGGGCAGAGGGAGCCAGCAAGTTGGGTCAGAAGTGAAGCTGCCATGCTGCTGGAGCCAGCTACCCAAGCAGGAGAATGTCTTCTGCCATAACTGCTATTATTCCCTCTGATCCCTTCCACCTCTGGCATTATTTGTAATTTGAAGCATGGCTCAACTCTGAATAGGGTCTTCAAGTAAATGGAATCCCAGGGTTTCAATATTTTTTCCTTACTCTGATTTCTTTGGCAAATGCAATCAGACTGTAAGTACAAGGATGTTCTTTCTCCCCCTCCATCTAACAGTCCCACATGTTCCCTGTGTGATCTGAGAGTCAAGCTGGGTTCTTCTTTACACCTTGCACACTTAGATGATTAAGAGTCTGCAAGCCAAACGAAGCTTTTCAACTTGTCTGTGATGGTGATTGCTGAACCAAAATAGATCTTGCAACTGGAGTATAAGGCCAACTGAGATTATGGCATTTTCTCCAAATTCCTTTATTTTTACTTAATGACTTGGGAGGATGAATGGAGTTCATGTAAAAAGTCAGTACAGGAAACCATGCTCAAGGGAGGATGCAGATATCTTGTAGGATAAAACTGGAATTCAGAATTATTTTGATAGATTGCAGAAATGATCTGAAATGAAGATGAAGTTTAGTAAAGTGAAGTGACAAAAGCACAAATACAAAATGGGGAATAACTGGCTAAGCAATACTGTAGAAAATGGTCCAGATCATAAAGCAAATATGTCAGCAATCTGTTGCTTTTGCAAACACGGGAAATGTCTTAGATATAATTCCCTCCTAATCCAGCAAACACTTCTCTGGAAAGACTTCAACTGGAATAGTCTGTCCACCTCTGGGGTACTGTGAGGCCAGGCCTGGGCCACCCACTCTTAAAGAATTTATCCGAGAACAACAGGAATCATTGAGTCTAAAGACACAAACAAACAAGCCAACCCCAAAAGACTCATAGGAAGCAAGGCAGAAAGACTTAGATGTGCTTAGTATAAGTCAGAAGCTCCTTGGACAGGGAATGTGATGAAAACCATATGAAAAGATTGCTATAAAGAAGAGCAATCAACTTGCCCATGGTGGCTAACAATAGGAGAAGTAATAATCGGCTCAATCTGCCGCCATTGCAGGTTAAGTGGTTTAATCCCCTGCTATAGATTTCTAGGCTAGTGTTTTGCAGCAGGGAAAGAGCCACAGAGCATGGCTACTGTGTTCCCAAGGAGAGGGGACACAGAGGAGCCTCAGGCAGAGCTGCCCCATCGCAGCAGCAGCTCCATGGCTTGTAGTCAGTGAGAAGTGGACTTTTGTTTTCTGCCTCACATGACTTTTGGCTGCACACATATAACATATGTAAACGGTATATTAAAAAGAGAATCATGGACACAAGTAAATGTGATTCTGAATACACACAGGAAACACATCTGTTCTAAAATGGGACCTTTTTTTCATATATAATCACTTCTCGGGGAAGAACTGAATTTTAAACATCAACCTATATGGCTTGGCATTGGACAAGGCAAAAATAAAAAGAGATAGTGCCCTTGGGAGCTTACATTTTTCTTCTGGCACCTACAACCCTTCCCTATTGACACTTACTATTTTCAGAACTCTATACATCCACACTCCTGTTGGCAAGATATGCGCTTCTCATATTCTTTCAAGTTAATACTGCACAAGAAAACTGCTGTCTCCCCAAGGAGAGAATGGTATTTCTCCCCTCCTCCCATTCCCAGGAAATCAAACTACACTTGAGCCTTTAAAATGCAGTTCAAGATAAGATGTTGCCATTAAATACACCTGTAAAAACTGCACAACCTTTGTAAACTAAGAAATCTACAGGGTAAGTTCCATTAAAAAATTCTGATATTAATATTTATACACAGAGCACACTGACAGACCATTAAAAGCCTGAATAAGAGAAACAAATGTTTTCCCCATTAGCTTTAAATTAGACCCATCTTGAGACTACCCAGCATATTTAAGGTCCTGATACAAATTTCACGGAACTAACAAATTAAAAGGAACTTATATATCTTAATTTTATACATTTGGACATTTGAGTACTGATCTGTAGATCTGGCCCTGCAATGCACAATGTTTTCATAATGTAGTATAGGGGAGGTTTAAATACATATTTAAAATATATAAATACTATGCGAAATACCAAATCTTAAATTGATTTTCTTGGAAACCATATGAACAGAGTGAAAGAGTGTAATATTCATATACAATATGTAGGTGAGAAATCCATATAGTCAAATGGCTGCCTATTATCATACAGATACAAGAAGA